TTAGTTAATTTCCATTTTTATACTTATGAGTATAATGAGTATATTTTTTCATTCTCACAATAGATTTTAGCATTTTGTGAGGATGGCCTTAGGCCTGAGCCTAAGCAATTCCATTTTAAAAACTCCAGTTTGAAACCTTCAGTCTCAGCAGTCACACCTAATGGAGCCCTCCAGCATGATCCTCAGACAAGTCACTTCCCCTTACCCTGATAAACTGGGGGAAGCCTCTGGCAGGCTGTCCTTGCCTGAGAAGGGGGAAAAGGGAGAAGATCAGGGTGGAGACCACCAGACCAGATGTTTCTGACCCCAGGGTAAATGATGTCATGGAGAAATCCAGTGGTAGCTGATCAGGATTGAAATGGGGATCAAAAGCCCCAAAATTTAGTATAATAGAACTGATGAACAGGGATTCAGTCAGCCGAAATAAGGATTCACTTGATCTGAAGGGCCTGATGAGGACCTGGACTGACATCTCAACTTTTCTCATCTGCCTGATCCTTTGCATCTTCCTCACAGCTCTCAAACTCTACCACCTGTCTGGACATTTGTGAGTCGAGAAACTTCTCCCWAAGACCTTCTCCTCAAACGGTCATCCAGTTTGTTCCGGATCTGATCACCACGGCCTGAGTGACTGTGCATCTTGCTGGATRTAAAGCCTAAGGCTTGAAACTTTTGATCTGACACTTGAACTTAGAACGCAGAGGGAATATCTGTCATGAGCCTGTCATGATTGTTTGCAGTGCTTAGAATTAATCTAAATTGTTTGCTGTGAATTAATTAATCTAGAATTGTTTGCTGTGAATTGATTGTCTATTGCAATGCCTAGCATTAAGGATTGTCGTTTTTTTGATTAAGAAATTGTATTAATTTGAGTGAATAAAGCATTGAAAAGGGATGAAGCAGGTGGACATTCATTATTTCTCCCCCTCAACTGCATACCTCGCAGTTTTGCTCCTCGTGATACATTCCCATCTAAGAAAATCTCCAAAAACTTTTGCAGACTACTTGTTACCTATAGTTCCTTTTTGAAAGGAGTTATAACTCATTTTAAAAATCTTCAAAAAACTGCAAGTAAACCTGCAGTAAGTGGGATCTCTGTTATTTACTGTTGGTAGCAATATTACTTGCTGCTGGAATCTCTACCTGCATATCACTCTCCTGAGATATAATCTAGTAATATAAATTTTTAATAGAAATACAGAATGTATGGTAGTATGGGCCTGAGACTGAAGAACTGTAGAAAAATAACCAGGGGAGAGAACACCAGAGTAGGTGGAGAACAGATAGGGGCTGAGTGACTATACCTCACAGAGGAAAATTATGGGCAAAAAATGGCCCCAAGAAGAAGGTACTCTCATACATTGTCAGTGGGATTGCAAATTGGTACAACCACTCTGGAAAGCAGTATGGAGATTCCTTAGAAAACTTGGAATGGAACCACCATTTGACCAAGCTATCCCACTCCTTGGCATATACCCAAAGAATGGATTTAAAATCAGCATACTATAGTGCAAAGCCACATCAATATCCTTAGCAGCTCAATTTACAATAGCTAAGCTAATAGGAACAAACCTAGGTGCCCTTCAACAAATTAGTGGATAAAGAAAATGTGCTACATACACATAGTAGAATATTACTCAGCCATAAAGAAGAATGAAATTATGTCATTTGCCAGTAAATGGATGGAACTGGAGACTATCATGCTAAGTGAAGTAAGCCAATCCCAGAAAACCAAAGGCCAATAGTTTTCTCAGATATGCAAATGCTGACTCACAATAGCTGGGAAGGTGGGGCTGGGGTGTGGGAAGTAGAGGTWCACTGGATTGGCACAAGTGGAAATGGGGGGATGGGAATGGGAAGACAGTAGAATGAATTGGACATAACTTTCCTGTATTCATATATGAATTCATACCAGTATAACTCCACATCATTTACAACCACAAGAATAGGAAGTTATACTCCATGTATGTGTATGTCAAAATTCATTCTACTGTCGTGTATGACTTAAAAAGAGTTTTTTAAAAATGAGCCCAAGAAGTAAAGGGACAAAATGTCAACACATGCTTCCTTTCTACAAACTTACCAGGAAGAGCATAAGATATGCCCAGATGTTCATCCAATGATATGACTTGGATATTATTTGAGTGTATCCCCCAAGGCTTGAAGTGTTGAAATTTAATGCCCTTGCCAGGTAGTATGAAGGTGGAAATTYAATCCAAATATGGTAGAGATGGGGTCTTTGAGAGGTGATTAAGATTGAAGTTATGAGGGTACAGCCCCCACGATTGAATCTCAGTGGCTTTATATGAGTGAGAACAGAAGAGAAATATACAAACACACACACACATACACACTCCCTGTGCTTGTTGTGTACACCAGGACTCTGCTAACAGAAGACTATCACCAGATGTAGCCCCTTGATCTTGCACCTTTAGTACTGTAAGCCAAAAATAAACTGTTCTTTGTAACTTACCCACACAATGGCATTGTGTTATTAGCAACAGAAAATAGACTAATGCAATCAAGTTGTCTAAAAATGTTCAGAAAGGTTGGGAAACTAGATAGAATTCGGGCAAGACTGCATGGTATTTTACCCCAAAAGATACCTGCACAAATAGTACTAATTTTGAGGTAAACATCACTAGAGAAATAAAGAAGCAATAATATGATCAAGATTGACTTTTTCTAAATATACAAGAAATCTAGATATATTTATTGAAATATTTATTTTAAGAATTATAGCTGGGGATGGCAAATTCTTGCAATCCCAGCTACTTGGGAGACTAAGACAGGAGACTTGTGTTTGAGGTTAGCCTGGGCAATGTACTAAAGCCTGTCTTTAAAAACAAAACAAAGAAACACAGACTAGAACGATTATAAGAACTATATATTGGGCTGGGGATGTGGCTCAAGCGGTAGCGCGCTCGCCTGGCATGCGTGCGGCCAGGGTTCGATCCTCAGCACCACATACCAACAAAGATGTTGTGTCCGCCAAAAAAACTAAAAATAAATAAATATTAAAATTAAAAAAAAAAGAACTATATATTGCCTAGTAAAGAAAAAAGAAAGAAGAACTACAATGGCTAGCAAATGCACAAAACATGTTCAACATCTTTAGCAATTAGAGAAATGCAAACAAAATACTACACTGAGATTTCAGCATGAAGTATGCATACCTATGTTTACAGCAGCATAATTCACAATAGCCAAACTAGGGAACCAGCCTAGGTGTCCACTGATGGATGAATGGATAAGGAAAATGTGGTATGTATACACAATGGAATTTTATTCAGCCTTAAAGAAAAAAAATCATGTAATTTGCAAGAAAATGGATGGAACTTGTGTTGAGAGCCACAGCCAAAGGGGCCCCAGCAAACTTCCAGCTGCCAGCAAACTTCCAGCTGCCGGCTGATGATTGGCTCACAGTGGCCCCAGCAACATCTAGCTGATTGGCTCCTCTGCGGTSATGTTCATTGGGCTGTTTCCCTGCCCTTCAGACTACGGAACTGCTCATTGGGGGACTTCTTTGGCTCCGCCCACACGACCTAGCCAATCGGCCTCAAGAGCAGGAGGATTGTGGGAGGTGGTGGTTGGTGTGTGGAGAGGCTTGTGGAAGCCGGTGGTGGCAGTTGGGCTCTGAGGGTTTTTCCTGAGGAGCTGTTTTGTTTGGCGTTTGTAGTTTTAAAAATAAAGTTTGTTTCTTTTGACAAGTGGCTCCTGAATTGTGCCCAGCCAGACTSCGGCAACTTGAGAGAGCATTACGTTAGGCAAAATAAGCCAAACTCAAAAATCAAGTGTCAGGCTGGGGCTGTAGCTCCGTGGTAGAGTGCCTGCCTAGTATGCATGAGGCACTGGGTTTCATCCTCAGCATCACATAAACCTAAATAAAGGTATTGTGTCTATCTACAACTAAAAAAATATTTTTTAAAAAAGTCAAGTGTCATGTGTTTTATCTCATGTATGGAAGCTAGAGAGGAAAAGGAAAAAGAAAACTATATGTGTGTGGGGGTGGGGGGGAGGTATCTTAAGAAAAGCAAAGGGATACCAGTAGAGAAAAGGGACCAGGGGATGGGGGAAGGGGAAATAYTGGGGAACAATATTGGCCAAATTTATATGTGAATGTACAGATATGTAACAACAAATCCCACTATTGTGTAAAATTATAATGCACCAATAAAAATGTGGAAAAAGAATGAGAACATAGAATTTGAGAACATTAATGACACTTTCACTCCATTTTTTCAATCAYATGCACCTTGCTAGTAAGGTTAAGGAATTTCTGGAGCCAATTCCATCATATACCATTAGAGCTTAGACTGCAATCAAGTCTTTGGCTCCTAGTCCCATGTTCTTTGTATATAGTCTGAAGATAAATACAACAAATCTTCATAAATTTGTACCACTGAAATTATTTAAGTTTTATGGAATATAAGTAGCCTTTTTAACTGAATTTTAAAAGAAACTTATAAAAGGCTTCTTTTTGCGTTTTCCACAGTCCATAACTACATATTCATTACCTACTCAGATTTTCTGAAGTATTCTGTCTAGTACCTGAATCTCAAAGTAAACAAGTTTCCTCCCTACCAATTCCAGTCTTCTTACCAGATTCTAGACTCTCCTGGTCTTTTAGGTCTGACCTACTTGAGTCTGTATTTTATAATCTGCAGTCATAGATTTCTGTTAGCACTTCCAGTATTTTTGCCTTATTATCTAATCTGTTGTCACCCATTGTCCCTCCAAAAATATCTAGAAACACTTTGTTTTTTTCTAAGAGTATGAAAAGATTTATGATGCACTCAGTCAAGTTTCTGTGCTTGGTGGTTTTCCAGTTGCCAATAGCCTTCTGTTATGACCCTAAACAAGGAAATGATAAATTGGGACAAGACTCAAGACATATTCTTCGCTTCTCTGAAAGGCAGATTTAGAGATAGGATGGAAATCGATGGCTAATTCACCCAATCACATAAATGTCTCATGTAAAAATAAAAGCCAAATACACGTTTTTTAGGTTTTTTTTGCATATATTTACAATATAAATACTAAATTTGTTTTCAAAGTACTTATTAACAATTTGAAAAAATTATCTAGCCTGGGAGAGCAATTTAATGTAAAGCCTCTATAGTATACTGATTAAGGAAAAATAGAACCGTTTGGGGGATAAGGAATATGAATGGGCATGATGATCTGAACTTGCAAGGGGAATGGGAAGCAGCTTAATCCTCACTGCACTGCCAACACAGCATGTTACAGGACTACTAAGTGAGACAAGCAACCTGGATGGGGTATTGTAAAAACTCAACTTGAGAGATATAAAAAGTACACATGCTTGCATAGTGCATTAATCTTAAAGAAGCTCAACATTTCATTCTCATTTTCAATAGTTTAAATGAATAGCACTTAAAACACATCACACAAAATTAAAGACTTGTGCATATATTTCAGATTTCAACATTAATGTCAAAAATACATAGTATGATTTTACATAGGATTTGTGCTACTTTAGAACACTAGAGACAAACATCACTTGAGCATTAAGGAAAACATTAAATATTAAATAAAATGTGTAAACACTAATCTAACTGGGGATTTTGCTATTGCAACATGTCCAATGAAGTGGTTTCAACAGTACAAAAAAGATTAGGACATGAGTGTTTCCAGTCTACTTGGAATATATAGATCTCATTTTCAGGAATTCTTTAATAAAAACTGGTCCAGGATAATAGGAAAGGATACACTCTCCTGATTGTTAATTTGGTACACACCATTCTATGCTACTAATTACTTTCAAACTTGGATACCGAGCGTATATTTAAAATATATCACTCCTTATCAACATCTTGGTGAAAATTGAGGGTTTGTTGGCGATTCAGTGTAAGATTTGAGTTCATATGCAGCACCGCTGTCAACCTCCATTGACTTTCTAGAGAACAGGAGCCGTACATCTCTATGGAGGTAGATCTTTCCAGATTTAGAACTCTGGAACCTAAACAAATAAATAAAAGATTAGTCATTTCAGGGAATGAGTCTTTAAAACAAATAAACTTGTATAATTAAAATTTGAAAGTAGGAAAAATTTATTTTGCTACTATACTACATTAACACTAACTCTTTCAAATAATATTTAAATGCCTCTACCCCCTGAACACTCTGTATTCCTTTTCTCTCTGACAATGCCCAAGGTGCTCATTCCTGTGAGTCTGGGTTTCAAAAACAATCTTACTTTTCCTCCATGATTTCACAGCACATGAACCTTTCCTCATTTACAGTGTTAAGTTTCAGTTTACATGAGCTAATTATAATACTTTAAGMTTTTTAGTTCTAGCATCTTCTAGCAACACAGACAAGTCATACAGGTCAGCCTTCCATGATTTGKTACAGATCAAAATAGATTCCACACTTGAAAATACTCAAATTTTCAAAATAATCACAATTATAGGAGTTAAGGAAGAACTCCTATAATTAGTAATAGTCAGCTAAATAAACCTAACCATCATCAAAAGTCAACAAGTGACATGAAAATGGCTATTGAAACTGGATTTGAAACTGTTTCTACCCGCTGCTACTACTGTCTGTCCAATAGTAAAAAGGGCTGTAGAATTAAACTTACTCAGCAGACAGACCAATACACCCCGTAGTGCTAATTTTTCTTTGTTTCCCCTCATCCTAGAAGAAATACCCTCTGCAGATTTTAAACTGGTGGAAAGATCTCATGCTCAAATGTGTATGTCAAAGCATATTTGTGACTGGCTCACACATTTCTTCTCTCTGAAGTCTTTCACCTTCCCTGTCTGAAATAGAACACGGTAAGCTTTGGCAAGTATACCATTTTTTTCCCCAAGTAGATTTCTATATAGCATTTAAAGTATCTGGCCATTGTGTGGGGATTATAAAAGAATAGGCAGTTGATTTTTATTCTGGCAAATGTCACTTACATGTGGATAAGGTTGTTAAATTTTGAGAGTGGGCTATACCAGTTTAATGGTAGAGTACTTGCCCAGCATACCTGAGGCCCTGAGTTTAATTCCTGTAGCACCATAAACAAAACAAAAGTGTCATATGGAAGTTCATTCAAAGTTAATCTTTTCTAGGTTGGGCTGGGAGATATTTTACAGTCTGCTACTTTTTAACATTTATCTTTGTAAAAAAGTTTCCAAGTCTGTTTTTGGTAGATTTTTCATTCCCATAATGTATGTAACATTTCCTATGAGATTCATATCAGGCAGAATCAGGCTGGGTTTAAATACATTGTGCTGGTTCAAAGTGTCTTTTGGAGGCAGAACAACAGGCAGAGATGAGAGAACCAATTAAGCAGTGTTTTGAGGGGCAACAATTACTAGAATTTTCAAGCATGGTACTTAGTTGCATGTACAGCTCACTCCTTATTCACCCTAAGTCACCAATGCAAGGCTGATATATACATTGAAAGATAGCTAGTGTTCACTACCCGTTATAGAATAAAGAAGCCCTCTGCTTGAACCCAGGAAGAAAGGTGACTCATGATGAATAGAGCTCCTTATAGTAAGGAACAAGTGTATGATGAATGTCATGGACATGTCTGAAAGCTTTTAGGAACCAGAAAACTGTGAGAAACAGAATTATGGGGAACAGGCTACTGAGCCCTCTCTTAAATCAACTGATTTTGTTCATGATCTTCAGAACTACATTAGGATTTCAGGGACACCCTTGGATGATGGCAACTTGAAACAGAAGGGGGAAAAAAATGGGTTCTCACACCCTAGAATTATGAGTTGGGTAATAAAAGTTATAAGAAATTTCTTTTTTCTTTCTTTCTTTCCTTTTTTTTTTTTTTTGTATTTGGGGTTGAACTCAGACCCCAGCTTTTTTTTTTTTTTTCCCTAAGACAGTCTTGCTAAGTTGCCCAGGCTAACCTCCAACTTGTGATTCTCCTGAGTTGTGCCCCACCAGGAAAATATATTTTTGATGGAATCATTAGAATATTCAACTCTATGACAGCAAAGATTTTGTCACTCCTGTTTTCCTAGCATCTAGAAGTACTCCTGGTACACAAACAGGTGTCAAACAAGTGAATGAGTGATTAAGTATAAGAACTTCCCTAACTAATACAGTAGCTTCTAGCCACATGTGGCTACTGAGCACCTGCAATGTGGCTAATTTACAAACTGAGTTGTGCTTTGAGTGTAAAATATATTCTTGATTCTAAGGATTTAGTAAAACAAAGGAATGTAAAATATCTCAATTTTTATATCAATTATATATTCAAATGATAACATTTGGATATGTTAGATTAAAAAAAATATATATTAATTTTACCTGTTTCTTACTATTTTTTAATGTGGCTACTGAAAAATATAGAACTATATAAAAAGCTAATATTATATTTCTGTAGAACAGCACTGGTTTAAAAAATGTGTTTCACTGCCTCACATATATTTCAATTTTTCTTGACAAAATAYTTCACATTTGGGCTGGGGCTGTAGCTCAGTGGTAGAGCACTTGCCTGGCATGTGTGAGGCACTGGGTTCAATCCTCAGTACCACATAAAAATAAATAAATAAATAAAAGGTATTGTGTCCACCTACAACTAAAATATTTTTTAAAAAATTTCACGTTAAACAGCTATAAAATGAAAAGATCCTAATTTCAACAAGTAATAACTGCAGTGCTGTATGCCATGTACTTTCTACATCTTGATAATCTTCAAGAGTTCCCATGCTAAGCAAAGTCTAAGGAATACAATTAAAAAAAAAAAAAGCTAAAAAAGTTTAGAAGTGTCTTAAAGTAACATTTTTATATAAATTTTAAACATTACCTCAAATGTATGAGGTAGCGTAATAACCGTTCTTCCGTATGTCGGATGTTCTCTTTATTAATACTTCTCTTCATGTCTTGTTTAACAGGTACAGAAAAAGTTCTTTGTCGTAGGAATGTCTGATGATTGGCTGGCATATCTCGCAAGTCATATATCACAACAAACATCTTCACCACAGTCTTATTAGGATTAAATAAGGTCTGAAGAAACAATATAAAAATTATTCTTTTAAAACAGTGATTTGTTGATATAATTCAGAATTATTATCCAATAATTAAATAGGCTTTTAAATAATAATTTAATCCCCATTGGATATAATTCAGTTTCAGGGACAAAAGTCATAAACTTTTGAAGTTTACAAAAAATAGTTAATGTTCTTTCAAAGGTTCAATTTAATTTTTTATTTCACAATAACATAAATTCCTGTAATAAAATTTTTAGTTACAAATTTCATATTAGTAATAAACATTATATAACTTATCCTTGTTCATATTTTCAGATAGTTCCACTAGCTTACGAAAAATATGCCCTTACTGGCTTAAAATATTATAATTCTTTTATTTCAAACTTAGCTTTTCTGTAGAGTATCAAAAGCAAAATTCACAAGGTGAAATTTTAATTTTTCTCACATTTTAATGGTGAGTAAATTGAATTTTTAAAATAAAACATACAAGTTCAATAAAACCAGAATTTTTGATATCTTAGGTATCTATAGTTATTGTAAAATTAAAAAGAAATGCTCAAAGGGGAGACTTTTCTATTTGAAAATTTTTTCATATTTAGAAAATAAAGCTCATTATAATTAGATCCAAAACAGGCTAAATAATACTTTATGTATTCACACTTGGACTCATTTCAAAATTTGCAGTGACACTAGGCATTTTTTTTTTTTTTGCCTTAATGGGATTGAACCCAGGGCACTCTACCTCTGAGCTATATCCCCAGCCCTTTAAATTTAAAATTTTATTTTGAGACAGGATCTTGCTAAGTTGCCCAAGTTGGAGTCAAACTTGGAATCTTCCTGCCTTAGTCTCCTGAGTCACTGATTACAGGCATCAGTTACCGCCCCCAGCTAGGTTTTTTTTATCTTCAATATTATTATAGAAAACAATATGGATCCTTTGTGAAGACTGAAATTATTCAATTGGTACTTGACTATTAATAATTGAAAAGAATGTCATTTTTAAAAGTAATAGTTTTCAAACAAAACCCCAACTGCTGATCTGACTTTAACCAAATTACCAACACATCAATAGGTAACTTGGTGCCCATGCTTTCAGAAGCTCATCCGTGGCACTGGACATCACTCACTGAATCAAAATGAGAAATATATCAATATTATGATCCAAATTTTGCAATCTAGTGAGTCTTAAGATTAATGCTAATACATTTAACAACTATAAAATCTAGCAAGCCAGGAATTCAAACCATGATTATACATTATTAAACCAAGTAAGGAATGAAAGACATCCAAATTTCATCTCTAAAATTAACTACTAATGTTGGCCATCTCCAAAATAAAAGGTAAATATGTTGTCTCTGGGTTAATGATTCATTGTTATGACAGCTGACAGCCAGATTTCCAGTGACCCACACTTTCTCAGAGGCAAGTGAACAGAAGATTATTACTCCTTTAGTTTAAGAAATCCATTTCACATAAAATGACCCTGTAATATGTAGTGATTCTTTCTTAGAAAACACATATAATGCAAAGTACTATGTTTCATTCCTGTGAGATATGAAATCAACAAACATACAGAGTCCTTGCAAATTTGGAACAATGGTGATAAGTAACAGTGACAGAACACTGAATACATTGAGGCCAAAGGTCATAAAAAGCTCTTTTGGTCTATACCAAATCTTGAGTGCAAGGAACCAGCCTCCATTAAACATATTACTCTGCAAACTCCATAAAAGACTTGAGGGTTTGAAGGGGTATCCTGGATCAGGCTTGGAGATCAAACTCAACTGCACACTGGCCTTGAAATCACATTATGCTTCTGAGAACCCTAGACCAGAATAATAAAAAAACTGTTCTGGGCTAGACGGTCTCTTTCGAGCCAAAACATGATTAACACCCAGACTAAAGGAATGATGCTTTCTCTGCCCTGACATTTGCAGACTTAACATTTATTTCCACTTGGAGTGTTCATTTTATTAGATTGATCAATGTCATTACAGAAGGGAAAATATGATTTTATTTCCCAAGTTTTCCTGCCAAAACAATACAATATTTGGAGCCTCCTTTTAAATAGGTCAATCTCAATATGGCTTATCACATTAAATAGAAGGCAAAGGTAATGTTAAGTTCTAATTATTTGAAAATAGTTCTACTTAAGTTAAGCATTCACCTTGATTAGCTTATTAATGCTTTCCTTTTGGGGAGGTCCCCAAATGGGTCATTCCTGGGGCAGAGCACGGAAACTCCAAACAAAGCTGCAGCCCCACTGTTACTTACCAAAATTGTTGCAGCAGCAGTAGCAGGAGAAAGGGCTAAGTTCTATATGTATGTGAGAGAATGATTATTGCAATTGTAGGCTATAAAACACATACCACTTGTATTGTTCCTGAAGGAGGTACTCGATAACCCCTTTTACCAAGGGACTCTAAAGTAATCACACCCTTGAAATAAAAGAAGACAAATTGAGTACAAACTCATGCATATTTATATAAAAGACTAAAATAAAAATAACATATCATGTAATTGTTAATTTTCAGAATTCTATTTCTATGAAGAAATACTCAAATTGAATTAGCAGTGATACATTCTAAGAGTAATAAAACAGTGATGTTTCCACTCCTAAACAATTTTCTGTTCTTCTGAGGCTGCTGCAATAAATAATATATAACATCAATGGCCACTGTGCTGAAAATTTCCACTAAAGTATAAGATTAAGATGTTTCCTAAACAAAATGGAAGGATTATTCCCATGTATAGTGAAGAGTGGTCATGAAGAAGCAAACAATTTATTGATTTTAGGGCATGTAAAAAGTAATGAGTGTGGAAGGATCTAAGCCTTGGCCCAAAAATGAAGTAATTATTCTTTATTCAGGGAATTAAGTTACATATCTGGATTTCTGACTACAGACAAGGTAAAAAAATAAAATTAATAAAAAGGAAGAAGAAGAAAAAGAGCATAAGAGCGTTTGGGAGTCTGTGGTTCCTGAATGATAATCTACAGGAGAAAAGATGTTCAAGGCAAAAAGTAGAAAATGAAGGTTTAATCAGCAACCTTCAAGACTTTTTTCTACATAAAAGCTATAAAACTCCATTTTCTAAGGATTAAATATTTCTTGTTTCCAAGAATTAAATGTCATGTTGTATCTTAATAAAAGCAATTCCTTAAGATCAAATTAAGGAATCTAATAATTAAAATTGATTATAAATCAGAACACAATGGATTGAAGACCTAAGAGCTAAGATTTGAGTCAAGGATAAATACAGCTAAATTGGGTCATTTCATTAAAATAATCCAAAAGAAGGAGCTGGGGTTATAGCCTCGCACATGTGAGGCRCTGGGTTCCATCCTCAGCACCACAATAAATAAATAAACAAATAAATAAATAAAATAATCCAAAAGAGGATATCAGGAGACCTCTAGGTTAATCTGGTACTCAAAGAATGGTCCTCAAAATATCATCATCAGTATCACTAGTGAACTTGTTAGAAACACAGAATGACTTCTCAGATCTACCAAATCAAATCTGCATTTCAACAAAATTTCCCAGATAATACCTTATATGCATTACAATTTGAGAAGCACTGCTCTAGTATGTGGAATTGTTTTTCTAAGAAGCCCAAACAATGGGGGAAAATGCAAATTTAAGTAAGTTCAAATTGAATGTGTAAAAGCTTCTCAATAACCAGGGTAACCAAAGGACTATAGGTGGTGACTATGATGATTAATTCTTAGGTAGCTTTAAGTAATGAATGCTGATTTGTTCATTTTAACTATTATTGAGTAGTGGAGGTAGTTAAATAGAATTAATGCTCAACATTTCATCTTTCTATCATTATATATTGTACATGCCAAYCTTATATAAAAGTAAATATAAAACAGAAATGACCCATTAGGTGACAACTCTTGGATTTGGAAGCTAGACTAGTGTTGGGAGATAAAAATGAGTGGGGAAAAAGGAGAAGGGAGGACCAGATTCTGACATATAAATACCTTAACTCCAAGTACATATTAATATTGGGAAATGGGTACTGAAAAGACATACATGAGTCTTGACAAATCCAATTTATCACAGTCACTAAAGTACAAAAACAGAATATCATCAGACTGCATCATYAACCAAAAACAGCAGTGATGCTTTAACAATTTCTCACTCTCTACATGTTTAGTGAGGTACTATGCATTCTACTTCTCATAAAAAATGCTATCACATATAATATCCCTCTTCTTTCTAGTTCAAGAAATAAAAAGTAAAATATACCCAAAATAACAGCTCCTTTTTTCCTCTTTTATGGTACTTGAGTCTGAACCCTTGGGCACTTTACAACAGAGCTATATCCCCAGACCYTTTTTTTTTTTTTTTTCCCAATTTTAAGATAGGATCTTGTTAAATTGCTGAGGCTGTCCTCAAACTTCTGATTCTCCTGCCTCAGCCTCATGAGTTGCTAGACTATAGATGTGGGCCACTGCATTTGAAAATAATARTTACTTTTAACATTACATTGCTACATGGAATACATTAGTATTCTTCACCATTCTTCACTCCCCATAAACGCATAAAGGAAAACAGGTAAGGCAAAAACTACTAGTATTCCTATGCTTATTTCTTTTAATATATATAATTCTGATCGTTTTTAGAATAATAGTAAATAATCAATTTATAAAGAAAGACCACATATTTTTGAAAAAGTTTAGGGCAACAGTATTTTTTCAGTACTGGGGATTGAACCCATGGATATTTTGCCACTGAGCTATATTGCCCAAGCATTTTTCTTTTTCTTTAATTTTAATTTCAAGACAGGGTCTTGCTAAATTGCTGAGGCTGGCCTTGAACTTGTGATCCTCTTGCCTCTACTTCCAGAGTAGCTAGGTTACAGGCATGCTCCTCCATGCTCAGCCAGGGGGACACTTTTGTAGTTCAGTTGTAAAGAGCCCGCGGGTTCAATTCCCCCGTACAAAGAAAGGGGGGGGAGGGGGAAGAATAGTAAAGATAAGCTAACGCTAAATTTCAGTCAAAATCTTACATAAAACTTTCAAAACATGCAAAAATAAGTGGAAAACTGAGAGAGGTGTGCTTTGATYTGGTCAGATTTGAAAGGAAATCATACATGTCTCTGTCAATATAATAATGCAAGTAATATTCTAAATTGCCAATGGCACACCTATATTAGATATTTCTGCCTAGTTTCACCATACAATAGATTCTAAACAGCTAAGTGTTGTCATGTAGCACTTGGAGATTATTTTTACCACTGACTCCCAATTAGAGAGAGAGATTATATGGCTTTGAGTTAATCTTTAAGGAATTCTTTAATGAAAAGCCCTATATCAGCTCTATACCACAAAAAATTTCTATGTTAACATTTTACCTTTATGAGTCATTTATGTCTCAGTTCTGATGGTCTATGAGATGTGTTATCTTTTTTTTTTTTTTTCCTTTTTTGACCCAGGGGCACTTTACCATTGAGCTGCACCCTGAGACCATTTTACCTTTCATTTTGATACAAAATAAAGTTGCTAAGTTGCCCAGGAAGGCATGGAAATTATGATMCTTGTGCCTCAGTCTCCTGAGTAGCTGGGATTACAGGCATGTACCACCATGCCCAGCTGATATATAAGACATAATCAGTCCTTTGAACTGACTAACCTACTAAAATATAAATAATATTCCCTGAAGAAAAACATTAATTTTATTAATTTACGGTAGGAAAGATTTGTGGTCTAAGGTCTGCAAGGGGCTCATTCCTAATAAGTAATGACCTAGGAAAAAAATACAGTAGATAGTTGATTAAAGATTATTATCAGAGAGAAGGAAGTCAGGGATTTGTAAAAGGATAACTTAATTCACTAACCTTATTTGTACCCTTCTTTATATCTATTAAAAATCTTCAATTATATGTATTTCTGCAATTAGATGTATTTCTGTACTTTCTGGAGACACAGTGACAAAAACCTTTTATCTACTACTAATCATTCATTTTTAATATATTAAACAAGGTCAAGGATTAATGCTATTTTGTTCTTTTTTTTTTTTTTTTTTTTTTGGTACCAGGATTGAATCCAAGGGTGCTTAACAACAGTACCACAACCCCAGCCCTTCTTATTTTTTATTTTGAGACAGGGTCTCCCAAGTTGCTCGTGTTCTTGCAAATTTTGCTAAGGCTGACTTTGAACTTGTAATCTTCCTGCCTCAGTCTCCTGAACCTCTGGGGTTACAGGTAGCACCTGGCAATGCTATTTTGCTTTTTAAAAGTATAGTTCAAATTATCTCTTGCTTATGAATTTTGCTCAAAGATATTTACTTAAGCTGATTTTTAGTCATTTCAGCCTTTTATCTTGTTTCTAAGCCATCCTAATGGCCATCAGGAATTCTATTTACTAATCATCTTATCTTTCTAGTTTCTATCACTATATACAGAATATGTAAAATGATGAGATTTCTTGATGTCCTGGTAAAGCAAAATGGACATCTTTCGAGCTAAATTTTATATTGTAAGCATTCCAGTATGAGAAGCATTCATTATGGTGCAAAACTTGCCTCAGTGGTACTTTCCATTTTATTTACTGTCCAAAATTAACAGCTATTTTCCCAGAATGAACATGGAAAAGTGTGTATATATCTTTCTATGGTAAATAAATAATAGGTGGTACATATGTGATAATTTGGCAGGTCTGTGAAGAGGGGACAGTGTCTCTCCTTTTGATCACAACTAATATTGTAAGTTCTAATGCGTTAAGACCTCCAAGAGTAAATATTATTGGGAAAAGAAAACAGAACTATGAGTTTTCTATTAAAGTATGAAACACTGATCAGATTCTTGGCTAAAAGGTTCTACCTTCAGAATGAAGTAAACCTAAGCAACTTTTCTTGAACAGTGTCAATAATAAGTCAGCTATATAAAAAGTATGACTTTCTTTCCTCTCTGTGGTTTCTCAATTATGTATAAGTTACTTTTTATAGCTTTTATTAATAATAAAAACATTATTACCAATGTTCTTGAAAACCTTAAAGGTGGGAGAGAGGAAGCAACTGGGCCAAATGGTAAGTTTAGAAAGTTCAAGTGGCTATACCAGAGATGTACAGTTCCACATCTATAGTAATTTACATTTCTCAAAGTAAGACTTAACATGAAAACCCTTTTGACTCATTTGACTCCATATTTTATATCATCACTGTAAACTTTTTACAGATTTCCACTGTTAGCCACTTCTCYCTCTTAGTATTTTAAAAAAAGGACTAATACACACTCCAGGATTCAGAATCCTTTATGAAGTAGAAGTTTACCCACAACCCACTGGAATAAGAAGTAGGAAAGACAAAATCAGAGGAYTGAAGGCTCAAGACTGTGCTCTAATTCTCCTTAGCTCTCATGTTCTCCACTAAGACATTAGCATAAGTGAGAAATGGCTAGTATTTCACAGAACCCTAGGATTAGAAAAGAATAACCAAAGACAAAGCAAATAGGGGAAAGGGAAGTGAAAGGGCCTCACAGAGGCTTTAGGTCACCAGATCCTTACCTAAACTCTACTGAGATAAAGACCACACTGGAAGGCAATCCTTTTGGAAAYAGAATACAGAGTAAGCACTTGAGAATTTGTGTAGAATTAACAAGATGAAACTGTAGTGTCACTAATCAATAAATCACACAGAACAGACGTTTAGCACCATTCTCAAATGTAAAAGAGGTTATCTGCTTTTTGAGGGTAGTTAGTATGAATTCAGCCTCTAATTTTTTCTTAGGAAATATTTTACACTTTAAAGTACTGCATTGAAACAATTAAAGGTATATGTTAAGTTTGTTGATAATGGCATAAAAAGACAATTTAAAATATACTTGCCATATAAGGAGAAGGAGCATTATCATCTGAAACACTGTAGAATGACACTTCAACTGGAAGAGTCAAATGTGTGGGGCAAAAAATACCACTTGCCCCTACCTCAGCAGTAAAGCCATCAACAATACCAAGAGGGTCTAAACGATAGTTCAACACAGATTCCTGGAAGACAAAATAATTTGGTAAAAAAATTAGAAAGGTTAGCATGCTAATTTCATTTTTTATTTAAAGAAATATATTACATTACCATTCATTCTAGCAGTAGAAAAGTGATTGCTATCCATGCCATGTTCTTTATCAGACTTGAAATGAGCCTCATCTCCCATCAATCTTCTACCATCCTATATAACTGGTTCTCCTCTCACTATTCCAACCAATGCTGAACTCCATTACTTATACCTAACTGTGTAATGTTATTTTTATATCTATAAGTAAAAAAATGTGCTCTATCAGAGAAGGTATTTATCTATTACATTGTTTATAGTACTAAGAAGAGAGGAGTGCTTGGAAACTTAAAAGATAACATGATGTGTTTTATCAAAAGATGAAGCCAAGCACTTAGAATTTTAATTGAGAAATATTGCTTCTTTTAAAAATAGTTTTTGTATTTTATTTTTTAATTTAAAGAACAGTAAGTGTGGGACTGGGGCTGTARCTCAGTGGCAGAGTGCTTGCCTAGCATGTGTGAGGCACTGGGTTTGAGCCTTAGCACCACATGAAATAAATAAAATAAAAACATTATGTCTATCTACAACTACAAAAAAAACTTAAAAAAAAA